GACTAGTCGGACTGCCAGCGCCACGTGTCGGAACGGAGGGAAAATCCAAGCGTAATCTCCTTCCGGAACCAGTTGCTTCCAGTCCTGAACGAAAGCATCAACTGCGAGGCATCCCGGGGTGAAGTCTTTCGAGACGAAGCTCTTGGTCACGTGCCAGACGTCCGAACCGAAGAGATCGACTGAAGGCTCGACACCAAACCAAGTCGTCACCTTTTGAACAAGAGAAGAGCTCAAGCCCCAATCTGAGGCATCTGGCTGGCGACTCAGCGCATCTTCCTCCTGCATCTCCTCTCGCGGCTTCCACTGAGCTTTGATGTCCACTCCGTTTTCGCACGAGAAACGGAAAAACTCTTGCAGAATCTTGTTGACGTCGGGACTGCTGCTACGCATGCTGTTAATAGCGTAGGTCGCTCCCCGATTGTCAGTGGTGATGACGATGCAAGAGTTCCTGATAGCTGCAGATCCGGCTGTTTGCAAGGCTCTTTGAAGAATCTTCAGGAGGCCTTTCATTTCGCGAGCCGTGCTGGAGAGTGCCGCTTCTTCCTTGCTGAACGTTCCAGCCAATTGCAGCCTGCTTTTGCCGGGAATCTGGACGTAGCCTCCAAACCCTACGTCTGAGGCATCAGATGATGTCTGAAGGGCCACTGGGAATGTATGCCATCTTCGTCCGTTCCACTTGTCGAAGTTGTCAAGGAAAAGCTGAGCAGCTTCTTTGACCTCGGCGGGGTTTTCAAAAACTTCGTCCTACGTCAGCTTTCCTTGCATGGCTGCGAAGAGCGGGCGGCTAAAGAGAGAAGCGGGGAGCATTGCTGGACCCAACGAGACCAGCTTCCCCGCCATGGAGGCGAGCATTCTGGCAGTGATTTCATCAGACTCGAGGATCTGCTCCAACACTGCAAAGACTTTGAGCTTTTTCTTCTCGGAGATCCGGAAGATCTCGAGAAGTGAGTCCACAACGAAGCCAAGCCAGTCCGCACTCTGGGCAGGCTCCAGGAGGCATTTTGGGAGGCTGAAGTGAGCCCCCAGCAGTGTAAGAAGCCTTAGTATTCTGATCAGGACCCATCTGCACTCGCCTTGTCCTGGTGTGCCGTCAGGCCGTCATCTACGTAATCCGAGACGTAGACTGCTCTGGCCCGCAACTCGAGAAGCGGTTCTTGGGAAACCACTGTGTAGAAGTAGCAGGCTTGAGCGTACCCAAAGCTCACGACGTTGTAATGGAAGTAGACCTCTCCAACTTTGAAGCCGAAGTAGGTTCTGAAGTCTGGATGAATGAGGAGGTGGAAGTAACCAGAGTTGAGATCTTAAGTGGCCATAAAGCCTGCCTTTCTCAGGAAGACGAGCACATCACGAAGCTTCTCGTAGTTGAAGTCGTACCTCTTCATGAAGAGGTTGATGTACCGAGCATTGAGGATCCTTCTCGGCTTAGGATTGAAGACCACTCCAATCGGGTTGACCACTTTGGGCTTGCTTCCTTTAGGGTACGCTGAGATGGCTCCAGAAGCGAGGTTGCTCTTGACTTCATTCCAGACGAAGTCTGCATTGTCCTCTGCGGATTGGTGATTCGAGAATTCTATCTCGCTAGGAAACTTTCCGGTGAGGAATGAGCTGACCTCTCGTTTGGGAACCGTCTTGAGCAACATGGCCTTGACGACCTTTCGTTTGGATTCGAGGGCATTATCCGTTCCTTCGAAGGATGGCTTCAGTCCTTCCTTCAAGGCTCCTAAAACCATCTTCGATGTTTTTCTTTTGGAGTCCTTCAAAAGCTCCTCCCACGCGGGAATCGTTCTATTGAAGTTCCCGGCTCTGAACTGGTCCGGATTCAGAACGTTTTTCTCCACGTTTTGGAGCCAAGCCCTATCCTCTTCTTCATTCACCTCGAGTCTGCCGTCTCTGAATTCCTCTAGTTCTCCAAGGACTCTTCTCACCCCATCCTTGAGACATTCTAAGTCGTAGTCAAACGGTGCTCTGACCGGAATAGCGGCCACTTCTTCGAAGGTGCAGAGCTCGCTCAATGTCGACTCGTCTCGCTCGGTTGCAGAATCGGCCATGAGTGGGTCTGCTTCACAGTCCACGTCCTCAATCTGACGCTCTGAGAGAGCTCCGTCTGGTGAGTCTTCTTCAGCGTGATTGAAGTCTTCTCTCATTGCAGCCGGGTCGAAACGAGGCTCGGCCAAGGGCCTGTACGTGCATATTCAGGCCTGAGATAGAATTGGGAATCGATCGTAGCGGATATCCATGCAAAAACCTGTGACCGACGGTTGGCGAAGTTTAGGACCTTGCCAGGCTTATTCTAGCCATCAATGCGAGCAATTGCTCCTGAGTAACATCGGGAAATGGAAGCATTATATGCACGTCCTCACCCTGAGCGCGTGCATTCTTTGGCTTGACGCGTCTTCTCGGGTTTGGCTACCTCGGTCTTCGAAGACCTGCATATTAGAGCAGGGCTCATGCTCAATTTGAGAGCTGGGCGTACTCAAACTCACTCTTTGCGGAGTGAGTTTCGAAAGATATGTTCTTCCTCGGCAGTGCGCGAGCATTATTCATCTACAGGCAAATGATTTGCCAATTCATACTAAGAGAATAGGACTCTATTGTAGTTGCTTCTTACCCATTCTGCGAGCCCTGAAAGGCGTTACTGTTGCTGGGAGTTTCTTTGTCCCTTGCGTCGGTCTCGACCAGCATCCTGGTGATTCAGAAGACCATGATATGCTCAGTAGGAGCCTTTGTATGCACGGAGCAATATGGCAGTATTCGACTGCTGAAATGTTATATCTTGAGTTACATACATCATCTTGCAGGTCCATATTCAGATGCACACAACGAGGATCATTTGAAGCACTGCGAATGCTTACTCATATTGCAGATCATCGTGAGCATTCCGTTCATTCTGTAGTTCCGCTTCTCGGTGCTGGGGTGATGCATCATCTCTGAATGAAGAGACTGAATCAAACTCAGTAAAATGTAATAATTGCGCTGCCAATGAGACGAAACAAGAGAAGTTCTGGTTCATCTGCCTGTCGAGTGCCAATTGTATTTGGCAATGTGAGCGTAATTTTGCTCCTAAGTACCAGGGAGAATCTAAACAGCAACAACATTACAGTCTGCTAGAGGATCTTTTCTGAACTTGAGGCACTATCAAGTTATCTACCTTCGAGCTCTCTTCCCCAAAACGTGATCATCCCGGTGGTCATCTTGGTCTCTTTCTTCATGCTGAGCACGGTTGGGCCCTCTTTGCCCGGGACCTCTGGTCTGAGGATTCTTCCTGCAAGCAATCACAGATCATCAATGAGATGATCTGCCTGTTGCACGCGACCGCCCGAATACAGCTGGTCGACTATTGTGTATCAAACCAGGAGATGCTTCATCAAGAAGCCAGGTTCATGAAGATTGGACAAATTGTGTCACCCACTGAAGGGACGCTCCGGGAATTCATCCTGAGCAGCTTTAAGCAACAGAAGCCTTACTAGAGGGAAGCATTCCTGCCAACTCTCGAACATTATGATGAAGCCAGTCCGCCGGATCGCATTTAGGGTGTCTCACCTGGCATCACCCCATCCATTGATCGGTTTCACATTGCCTCTGGAGAGCTCTTTTTCTGCCATGGCCTTGAAGTTGAAATACTTCTCCCTGATCATGCTTTCGATCTCGAGCACTGTGTCCTTCGACCATGATTCGCTCTTGCCAAACTTCCTCAGTTCTGCTCTGACTTCTGCACAATACTGAGTGGCCATGTACTCACATCCGGTAGAGATGTAGTTGATTCTCGAAGCAAAGAAGAATGTTGCAGCCATGAGCTTAGCTGTCTTTGCATCAGGTTCCTTGTATACGTCCAGCAGGAAGCGGGCCTTAGATCTCCATGACTTCTGCATATCAGGATAATCTTGCATCACCACTTCCATGTAATCAGTCAGGGACCCTCTCATCGCAATCTGCGAGACTGCTTCCTTCAGTAGATCAAAGTTGAAGTCTTCGGAGGGGCCTTCTTGAGGACCTTTGAACTTCTCCCAGAAACCTGGATGAATCTCCTTTCTGGTCGGTGTGCCAAGCCTGCTTGGGACTTGAGATCCTCCTGCTCCAAACTGTGTGGAAGACGGGATCAATCCTGTTTCCATTGACGTCAGCTTGCAAGAAAAGGGAAACATCGATGCAGTGTCTTAGCATAGCTTGGATCAGAGGGTCCTTCAGCTGCCTGCTTCCATATCCGATGTTCAAATCTGTGAGAGGCACAGGTCGAGGGAACTCAAAGCCATAGGCATCCTTGACACGAACGGGTGCCTCCACGTCTTGCTGCGGGTCTTGAGTCACATCAATGACTTCACACCAGATTTCGCCATTCTCTGTTTTATGCAGAAGATTGCAACCCTTGAGAACAGCCTCTGACCCTCCTGAAAGGACCACCAGGGCCTTCAAATGGTGATCCATCCTTCAGGTCACTTGACGGTCCTTAGTAGGCCAGGGCTTCTTCTCGAAACACCCAAGAAAGAAATGGCGCCTGATCAGCAGCGCCAAGACGCGCCGCTGCTGGCGCTTGAATAATTTGAGAATGAAGACTTGAAAGAATCACACTCGGGGTTTGTTCAGCACTTCAAGCTGATCCTGCTCAGCAGTTCAGACGCGGCGAGGCCTCGTCAGCAAGTTTGCTTTGAATTCAAACGCGCTAAACCCCGGCAGCGAGGTTTAGGCGGCCGCGGCAGTCGGCCGGGGTTAGGGGTTTGGTCTGCAGGGCAATCTGGTGCCTTTAAACTTCGACAAGATCAGACGGTCGCCCTCAGATCGTGTGGCAGGCCCGCATTCCTTAGGCTGCTTTCCGTTTAGAGTTCCAACGGCAAAGCCACTGAGCTTAGGGTTTTCGCGTTTCGTTTGGTGTTACCCGAGCCTGCACCCGAGCCTGCACCCGAGCCTGCATCGGCGTCCAACAAAGGCGTCCGCGTCCGATGCTCCCAAATTTTAATCGTCGACGTTGTGCCGGCAAATTAATTGAGATCCAGTCGGGGCGGCCCGCCGGCCGGACGCCGTCTCGAATATCGTATGGTTCCATCTCGCAACCGACCGTTTTTAATACAGCCCTACCGTAGAGACATTCCTAAATTAATTATTTTTAAGCCTTGCGAAAAATATAAAACTAAGTATCGACTCAGGTGCGAAAACGCGAAATAAAAATATAAATCCTTTGGCAGTCCAAACTGTGGCAAAACCAGGGGAAAAACGCCAGAAAATAGCCAAAAATGAAAATCCAAATAAAGTCGACGATTCTGGTGCGAAATGACAAAACCTTCATGATTAAATATTCGCACCAAGGTGGTGCGAATGAGGAATGTCTCTACGCCGTACGGTTATGATTCATGAACATTCAACATTCAAAATACGGATTAGATTTACCGGTATACGACACAACCCAAGCCTTTTATGACCGTATTCCTGAGTCATGAATTAATTGAGAATGAGTAGAGGGGCCGGCGCCCGGCTGGCGGCTGGCCTACTTAAGGTGACCGTGACGTCACTGTGACGTTCAATGCTCAAACACAAGCTAAAACCAGCTAGACTCACTAAAACCGCAATGCAGCTGGGCCCCAAAACCGTTAAAAGAATTTATGCTTACCATAGAGCAGTCGCGTAAAGTCGCGCAGAATCGCGGAAAGTCGCGCAACGTTGCGGGCAACTCTGGCAACCTCCGGGCCCAGGATAGGCATTACCATGTGTTCCTTGCCCAGGCTCCATTCCTTTGTTGGTTAACACAACCTGATTTGCCGAGTCCTGTGCTTCAATTAATGCATGAATGTAAATAGTTCTGGTTTGTTACGGCGTACCTTCTCGTGTCTGCCGGTACACCTTCGCCGGCCGCCGGTTGCCTCTATTATGCACATCTTATTAGCATTCAATGTGGTTTTTTTTACGTTAGGCGTTAGCACCTCAAACATTGATCCTCCTGTATGCCATGGGAGCCTACGGCCCATGTGGCTACGGCGTTTTGAAAAGAGATCATCATCACTGCCAGTTGCGACAATAAGGAGGGCCCAATGATGGAGATCGTTTAGTAGGTTTGCAAAAGTTCCTCATACTGAACGTAGGAACGTTTCTTATGTAAAGACACAAAACGCGGGATGATAGCGATTATCTACGAGTTTGGGCTTCACGTTCGCTCACATAGAGAAACTTGGCCCACTGACACACTGAGGCTCGCCGCTACGTACCCGCGCAACTTTCTGGAGAGACTGAAAAATATATATACATGTAAAGCAGAGCTCGATCAGATTTGTGGGATGTGTGGACAGTGGTCGTATGAGTGGCTACGATGAAGTACGCTTTGTACGGAATGATCCAAATGGAATCGGAACCAATCGCTTTCCAGACTTTTCCGGGGACTTTCCAGCACGACCTGGACAGTCGTGGACAGCACGCAATGACAAAGGCTCAGGCACAGACGCAAAACGAAGGCGTGCAGATTCGCAAGTAAGAAGGATTCCGCTCAAGCCGCACTCGGCGCAAAGCCTGGTGCCAACCGGTCCGAGCAAGACTACGACACGAGTTCACTGGCAACTCGTGTTTTAAAACGCTGCTTGTTTTAGTTTTCTTAATCCTCAGACCATCTTCAAAACGAAGCGCAAAGAAGTTTCAAATGCAGCCAACAGATAGAGCTCATCGAGAGCAGCCTAAAACACCCATTGCTTTGTAAAATGGACCCCCCCTTTGTTTTTAAAACGGTTTCAAAACAGATTAAAACAGTCGAAACACCTGTAAGACATGTGCGTGCAAGATGGGGCTCCAAATATCCCGTGTTTCAAAACAGAAAATCGACCAAAACGTTTTAGAACGTACAATTTCATGTTTTATTTGACATAAGCGGGCCTCATTCGTTCTGTGCAGTTACAAATGATATGCACATAAACACCGAAAAGAAGACATAAGACTTCAATATGAGGTCTGCAAAGGGCCCTTTTTATCATTTTAAAACGTTTTAGAACTGTTGTAAAATAGTTTCGCCTGTTTTAAAACAGACGAAGCAAGCCAAATGACTTGTTTTAGTAATTGCAGAGGACATGTTTCAAAACGGGAGTTGCCACCCCGGGGACGGCGAAGCAGTAGGTGCCATCCGAACAGCCTCAATTGACTTACTTTCTACAAATCTTAATTTACCTGTGCTCTCACGTTTGTCCCTGTTCATCACTGCACTGTTCTCGACCCGGGGTGGCAACTCTCAGTTTCAAAACATGTTATCTGCGGATTAAAACAAGGGGTTTGGCTGTTTTGAAACTTTGAAACTGCTTTTTAAAACGTTTAAAAACGGTTTTAAAACGGCATGAAAAGTCCAATTTGTATCATTTTCCTTCTTTTTATGGCGGCTATCGGCTTGTCAAGAGCTCGTATGCGGCATCCATACACTTTTATGTATATTAGGGTGACAAAACAGACCATAAGGGCCTCGGGTTGTCGCCTTTCCTCTAATACACTTTACAGGCGTTTTAAAACGTTTTGCTGTTTCGTTTGTTTTATAAAACGGGCTATTTTGAAGTCCGCCTAACCCGCAGATACATGTATTAAGATTTTGGCGTTTTTAAATGTTTAAAAATCGTTTTACTTTTTGTGGGGGGTGCCGAATTTCAAAACGAGTAGTGCTTTAGAAACTATAGACGAAGGGTTATACGATGGCAAGAAACAAAACACTGGATGCATTTGTTTTTCCGTCGTTTTAGCTCGTTTTGGATGAAGGCAAAATAAAAACGCCCTCTATTTTAAAACTGGAGACGGTTGCAACCCCGTGGTTCTCGACAGCCCCGCAAGAGCAGAAAGTCTTATCAGTGAAGTTCCGCTCGGACCGGCTTAGGGCCGGTCTGAACTGCGCGACCAGGATTCCGCGGACCCAAATTTCGATCGCGCGACCGAAATTTGGCCGGACCGGCTGCTCCGAGTTCAGTGCGCGAATTTGTCGCGCCGAAAACCAGGCCGCTCCGACCTAGATTCACAACTTAACGGAATCTGACAAACGGTTTTTACCTCAACGGCTAGTTTTTAGATCCTCCCGCGCTCTTTTGAAGCTGACGAGGATAGTCTCCAGCCGTTTGCAGGTAGCCGTGAGCATTTTTCGACGACACAAGTGGTTCAATGATCTACCGCAACTACTCTCTTTTTGTCGATTTTCATGAGCTTGAGCTCTGCCTTCCTGATCTCAGACTTCAGAGAAGACACTTGATGAAAACACCACTGTAAATAGGGACCAAAAGTCAGACTAAACGAAGAATCAAACGCTGCCTCACCAAACTTCACCCGCTCTAGCTTTCGGCTACTCTCAGCTTTCGCTACCGTCACCAATTAGCTCAAGGGACCGGGTCTGGGGAGCCTATTGCAACAGGTTCCACCACTGCAAGGGCTTTAACTAACTTCCTTTGGCATCTTCAGAAGACCCCTTCTCTGACAACATCTCCTGACCAAGATTCCTCTCTGCTTCACATGTATGCACGACTCCCGGACAGTAATTTGAATCAACTATGAAACGATGAAAGCAGCAGGGACAATCTGACGTCAACTTAGTTGCTGCTTAAACCCGCATCAATGATCTTTGATTCCTTAGTTGCATGCCCAGAGGAGACTGCCCTTTCTTCTTCTGTATCCAATCTTGGTTGCATCTCTATGCTCAAAACCCCCAGACCCGGTCCCATAGCTTATAGGAACAGGCTCCATCGGCAGCAGTCATGGGACACAGCCCAAAAGACTGAGCGTCAAATGATAACGGACCAGGCCAGTAGTTAAACATAACATGCTACATTTAGCATAGCCTCCTAGTCTTCTAGCATTAGCTTTGAACAAACACCATACCTGTTACAATATGGGTTTATCATAGGGACACCTGCAAAGCACATGCATAACTGAAGATTCTTTCCATCATTATCTTCAGCTCGTCGTTTCATTGAAGCATGTTGCCAAGAGGGCATGGATGCAAAACGGTTTTACTCGTCCCGTAAATACGAGTGGAAATGAGAGAGCATGTAGCTTGGCTTGTATATGTGTTCTTCATTTTCCGGTTCATCCAATTCATACCGACCAAGTCTCTGCTGACGTCCGGTACATCCCGGATGTCCAAAATCTGCAATTAAGTCGTGGACGAAGCAATCCGCCTCCGGCGGATTTTGCAGCTCGCCTCAATGAAGAAAGCACAATATCCTTCAAATGGCAAGGCTGACGGTGGGTGCCAGTGGGAGGGCCGCGGCCCGGTGACATCATAATGGGTGGGTGGGAGGGCAGGAAATACTCCGTGCACTGCCCGGTACAAGAATCGAAACTAAATCCAACATTTAACCGTAGTCCTGATGGATTGTCTCTCCTGAAACGTACACCGTTTTAGAAATGACAATTGACGTCCAGAAGAACTGAACGGGCAGAAGGAGAACAAGAGACAAGAGACAGGGACTCGCAGCAAACTTGCTGAGGCACTTCGCCGGTAACCCATCCAATTAACGATTAAACGAGTACTAAACGAAATTTAGTACATGTACGATACAGATGATGGTAGACCTCCCAGGCTACTTCTTCTGCTCCATGACACCGCCTCTGTCTCACGCCTGCCCCGGCCTGAGCCCCCCCGGAGAACCACCCCTGTACCCCCCCCGTATTGGTGTGAGGCGCCCGAGGAAGTACTTGCTTCAGAAAGCAATCTTGACACCGAAAGCTTCCGCTCGGATGGTCTTCGCCTCCAAGGTTGCGCGCCTTCTGTTTCGGGGGTCGGCGCGCGGCGCAAGGGCTGCCAGTGAGGAGGGTTTTAGGACTTTGGAGGGGGGCGACGCTGGGAGCGCGGCCAGCTTCTCCTGGGCGACCCCGTTTTCCACGCTCTCTACCCTGCTGTCGCCTAAGAACTACCGGGGGCTGTCCGAAAGCGTCCGGTGGGGGGAGAAGGGGGAGGGGTAGGACAAGCGTGCTCAAGTGGTAGGGGACGAAGCGATCGTTGAGTTTTGCCCCAAGGCGGCTGTCTAACGAAGTTCTAAGCTCTCAAGCACCCCTGCGGATTGTTACAGGGACTCTTCAAAATTGTCCCCCATGTAGTACAAGAGGGTGCCCCTGAGAACGGTCCAAGTTGAAAGATTGAATACACACAGCTCGTCAGGACACGAAACTCAAGGCGCAATGCATCGGCGCAGTTACTGCCGCTTCAAGTTCAGGCAACATGACCAACGCAAGTACGAGACTGAGTCTATCCAACTTCTAAGTTCCCAGGAACGAGAGCCTGCCAGCGAGACTCCATTACTCAATCCTGAGTTGCTTCCAAAGATCAAAGGAGACGGAGTCTGAAACTCACCCCAAAGGAACACGTGCCCAGCAAGCACTTAACCCAAGAGTGACAAGGTGCGGTAGCTCACATTGTAGGGCTGGACAGCAAAGGCTTAACCCGAGAATACGCGATAAACTCGGAGATCCATCTCATACACCTGGACAGCAAACACTTAATCCGAACCTAAGCGATAGCCTCGGAAACTCAACCAATAAAACTCGGCAGCAAACGCTCAACCGAGGAGCAGGTAATGAACTCAACAGCTCACTCCAGAGGGCTCAAAATCGAACAGGTAACTTGAGAGTAGGCGACTGATTGAAAGCTCACCCCCTAAGGCTTGACAGTTTTCAGAAGCTCAATACACATGCTCAACAGCGACCGCTTTATGGCTGGCGGCCTCGCGAGTGGAGCCTGGGCAAGCCCCTTCCACAAACGCCTGGAAGTCCGTGGGCGCAGCGCCGAACGTGGGCACCTATCTAGACTCGTCCATGACTCCGCCGAACGTGGGCACCTATCTAGACTCGTCCATGACTCCGCCGAGACCGGCTTCTCCGGCGCCAATATAGAAGATGCTGCCCTTGAAGTCGGTTCTCTCGCGTGCAGCTTCGATGAGGACCTGGGTTTTGAAATAGCAAGTATTATGAAGAGGTCACAGGTGTCCGAATCGATGGAGAGCTGAGTGGAGAACACGAAGTGAAGCCTCAGGTGTGTTGATGACGGCAAAGAGGCCGGTTTTTCTGCGGCGATAAAGGTGTCGCAGCTTTGTTGCCGGCTCCAAAGCCCGCTACATAGGGCACCGATGTGTTGAAAGGATTGCCTGAACCTAAAAACTAAACCGCTCTCTTTCCTCTTCTCTTGAAAATGAGAATCCAATGACAGGTACTGAGATCCTCAGAGAAAGATTTGTAGCCAACGCAGAAGCTTGTTAGTGGAGCTGTCGTCGCTCCACCAGCTTGAGCTGACCACAGACTGGCCATGATGCCTGTCAAGGAAGGCCAAAGGTCCCTTCTGGACATCTGTCACTGAAGGATTGGTTCCAAACTGCATGGCTGCTTGCATGCAAAACGGGTTAAGAAGCCACGGGGCCTTTACATGAAAGGGATCCCTCTGGCAGCATCACGTCTGTTTTGGGATAAGTATCGCTTGAGACGATAAGATAGTGAAACTTGAACCAGCAGCACATCTGCAGACTATCAACCCTCAAGATCTGTTCTAGATAGCAATAAGCTTCAAAATAACGAAGTAGGGCCCTCTGGTCAGAGACACTGTGTTAGCTATAGCTATGCCACACTCCTCCGGTCAACGCATTGAGGCTACTTCAGAAAAACAATTGGCTACCAAGTCAGGTTCAGACCGCCTGAACTAGTAATATGGACTTGTGTAAGGATTTATGTTCACCACCTAATGACGATGCAGCGGCGACTGACGTCAATGCGCCCTCCTGGACCCTTATGCATGGTGGTGCGCATGCATCCTGGGGATGGTTCTTGGCACCCATGTGTATCCATGGGCACTACTCCCCTTGGTGCAGCCACACCGTGACAGGACAACGTACGGCATTGCTAGAAACAATGAAACTTTAGGGCACACCAACTAACACTGTGTGTGCAGATTGCTGGAGTCAGGGGTTTTTGATGCTGAGCTTGGAAGAAATTGATTTCCTTGTGATCTGGTCTGAGGGAAAGGAGGGTAGCTAGCAGAATAGAGTTTTGGAAACTTTCAAAAAGTCAGAGATATCATTTAGCAGATGGACGGTAAGATTGAACAAAGATTGAAGCCAGTAGCAAAGTTCCACAACGCAGACACCAAGCCTTTGAAGGATAAACGCTTGGATAATACCTCAAACTACGGAGCGTCGGTTCAAATGACTGGAGGCAAATTGAGCTTTCCCCAGATACTTATGGCGAATGAGGTTGGCAGTTAGTTTTTGGATACAACTTAGCCGCGTGACAAAGATGTTGCGGATCCTCTCAGAAGCGTCAGACAAACTTGGACCCTAAATCTACAGGCATCAAGGTCTGCTGGCTCAACTCCTTTCCACACAATCCATTCCTGAACCAACCACAATTGTGATGTTGAGCAGTCACAGTACCTCTATGTTGACATGCTCAAGGTGGCAGATAACAAGTGCTTTGTTCAAATTTGATCTGCGTGTACGTTCTGAATGGCCGCATGCGCGAGAACTTAGAAGAAAGTCTGGGGGGTCAAATCGTCGAGGCCAGTCTTTTGCTCTTTCAATGCCCACCTTCAAATTCAATGCGATGCCGGCTCCTTTAGATGAAATTGCATCTCCGCAAACTCGCGCAGCCTGCATGCTGGACCTTCTGTCACCTTCAATTCCTTGAATGAAGCATCACAGGCCTCAGTACCAACTTCATATCAAGTGTATGCCACTCCGTTGTAGACGCGCTGCCACGGTGGACAACAGCGTTGCTCACAAATGGTGGAGAACTTATAAGCCGGCCTGCGGCGCTTTTAAGAAGGAAGTAGTGCCATACCAGAAGGTCCTGCAACTTGCTAGCAACGCATGAGAAGCTGAACATTATGCTTGTCCACCCTCTAGCCAGCTCATGACATGATTCAAAATCAGATTATAAGTTCTTACACGAGCATTCCAGAGCTCTCTAATTTGCAAATTGAACAAGAGGCGAGTCCCCAGCTCTCACATGTCAGCCACTACTTCTATAGGACAACCCTTCTGGCATAAGGCTAGCTTTCAATTTTTAACTACCACATTCAGCTTCAGCTTCAGCTTCAGGAAAGAAATTTGGTTGAAGTAGTGACAAATTACGGTCCGCCATTTCTACAGCCACTTTACCAGGCATTCTAAGGGTAAGGTCATTTTGTAGTGAACCCCCTATGTTCAGTCCAGAGCCCCTCGAGACCCGAACGGCCAAGCCCCCCCCCCCTCCCGCTGTCTGGTACCCGGTGATAAGCGGAGCCCCCCCCCCCTTCCGGCTGTATGAATATGTGTATTTTGCGCTTAGTTTGCCCCTAAATCGCCATTTTTATACCGATATTGCG